TAAAACTTTAACCCAGTTCATATCAACTTTTTCTTATTTTTAGGTTATCAATCACCTCCTGAGCAATTGATTTTCACTTTTGAAACACCTTATATAATAATATAATAATGTATACAGGAAGAAGAAATGTCATTATTGTATTGTTTTTTGTACTAAAAAAGTCACCAAAAAAATAAAGTCCAAAAAGCTGGAATCTCCGACCAAAAACCGGAGAAACGGCAAACGTGATTATTATATGTCGCGAGAAATATTCTTTATGAGATATTGAAACGAGGCTAACTAAACGTCCACAATGGATGAAATTGGCAGGGTCTATAGCAATAGATCGTTCCGATTAGTTGGCACGAATCACGGACTCGTTTCCCCGACGCAATGGCCACGCGTTGCTGTTTCCGGTGAAGACGCGGATGTCATGATGCTGGCCTCCGCTGACTGTTTCCGGATAACGTCAACTTCTGGATCATTGATTTCACTGGTCGTTTGTCACCCTGATCACACCATTTAACGTTCCAACTGTTTATACAATTTTTATTTAGTCCTTTCTGGACGTATGCAGCAATGTCTATGTAATAAACAAATTAAAATATATATTTTTAATGTAATCTGTATACCAATAATATATATGTCTAATTAATGTCAAATTAATTCGATAAAATTAATAATAAAATTTATTTATATAAACAAGATATTTTCCATGCATTTTTTTTTTAATCGGTTCATACATTCAAATTCTTATATACTTGTATTATTTTATAAAATTTATAAAATATTGCGTCAATCAATCTTGTCAATCGTCGCGTCCATCGTTGTGTCCGCCATTCATTGTCAAGCCACGCATTCGGGAACAAAATGGTTTGTTATGAAGATGCGCTTATCATCAGGACGCGATCGCGCGATGAGGTGGGGATTAATCTTTAAGTGAATCGTCAAATCCTTTCTGCCGCCCTTGGACTCGATGCACAAACACATGTATCGCATGCTGTGCAAACAGATCGCGGGTGCACACCCTCTCTTCTCTCGGTAGCGTGAGCTGCATCTCCTTCTTTTCCTGTGGGACCTCTTTTCATTTTCGTTCTGTCTTCTTTTCACTCCCCCGCGTGCCTTTTGTCGTTTCGATCTCTCTCTCTCTTTCCGATTCGTCGTTTTACCTTCATCACTTGTCCGAGGGAGGGGAACAGGACCGTCTCGCTCTGTTTATCCAGCTGCCGTATTTAAATGTCGCTCTAACGCGCCGTAAAATTATATGCAAAAATCCCCATAAAATATGTAAGTCCCCTCTAATGCACCGGGAAATTGTCGCGTTATATCGTCGCGCCTATGGGATTATATTATATCGCCTGACGGTTTCATCTTCCACCATTGATCGCTGGTAGAGAAAAAGGGTATACGCTTTGGGTCCCGTTTGAAATTTAACGCGTCATCTTTCTTCATTTCATTCTCCATTGACTTTTTTATTTTTCATCACGCTTTGTTTTTCTCTTCCCTTTCTTATTACGGATGACTTTATTGTTTTTTTCGATATATAAAAAAAATATAAAACTTGTATTTACAGTTATTTTATAAAATTATATTTATTAATATTTAAATTTATGATTAACTTATAATTAATATTTAAATTTTGCTAGTCTAACAATTACATTCTTTATTATACTAGCTTCTTTCTTACTACTCTTCTTTACTACTAACAATTATTTTTTTATTACTAGAATTGCACAATAATACGTGCACAAAAAATATTAATAATTTATAATACACGTGTAAATATTTATAATTTAACAAAATATGGTGTAAGCGGAGAGACATGATAGATAAGCCATGAAAAGTGATAAGTATCTATTTAAGCTAAGAAGGTGGTAGTAAGCTCGCCTATGGTAGTAAGCTGAATGGGATGCAAAGCAATTTGTTGGCAGCAGCTAACAGGTTGTCAGGTGTCGATGGGGGGCCTAATGTCAGTGGGGGTTCCGCTGCCTAGCGGTAGTAAGACCAGCGGCGCTTATTCGCCGGCTCCTGTAATTCTGCGTGTTATCCCTTTTTCTGCTCCTTCGTTTTACCTTGTGTTTCGTCTCCTATATATATATATATATATATATATACAATGAAAATGCAGAGACACGCAGATGTGTGCTCGCAAAAAGAAGCATATATCGTTCCCTTATTCGCCTCGTGTGATATTTTTGTCCCGCTAATGACCATTCGGTTTTGGACGATTATCGGCGTATCTCGATTTCGAAACCTCGTCGTTATCGCAATGATTCGATTGCGGTGATCGCTGATACACCGAACGATAAATAATCGACGAAATATATCCGACGAAATACACCATATACATACATACTATATGTCACACGCATATCACAATTGCAGACGTGATACACAGACGTACGGTTACGTATATAGACTTATTTAATAATTTATATTATGCGCATGCACATAAATCGATGGACCGGTAAAGAAAGCCCATGATATATGGGCTAATTTGACGTATCGCGAGGCTACCGATCGGCTACCGTCCATGTACGGTCGAATGACCGACTGTAAATTACTGGCACGTCGGCGTAAAAACATCGAGGGACCTGACTCCCTTGACGGACGTGAACGTTTATCGTCGTCGAAGCCTCATCGACGCTCGAATCCCCCATTAGCTCCCGTTCCAATATAAACGTTGAATCGACTTTTCGAATCATGCATACTCCACCGGCCACTTCGTAAGTCGAGAAACATCTTGGTTCGCGTTCCACCCCACCAGCTTTACGCTTTACTCGCACCAACTTATCTTGAATGCACAAACGACATTTCTGACATCGAATAAATATCAATATATGGTAGGAATAATATATATGTGCATTATGAATAAAAAATATATAAAACACAAAATTTTCCGATCGAGACAAATCGAGATTATTTTATTATTATTAGTCAAATTATTAGAAAAATTCAAATTTATGATACGTTTGTTTGTAATTAAAATAATAATTGAATCTACATTGTCTAAATTAATTGAGTAAATATTAAATTTAATAGGAAAAAATGAAAAGCGATATTGTTTATTATTGAGTAAATATATTATTTTATATGTTACACGAAAGTGTATATTATGGACTAGACGTTCCACCATAATAATGTTTTTGCTGCTCCTTCGAGTGGACCACCGCGGAGATGAAGTCGTCCTTCCCCGTTTCGACCTAGGATCTCTTCTGATCTCGACAGCAGCGATTTGTTTAGTCTCTTTCGTGCAATTCTAACGCGCGCTTTCAGCAGAACACTCAGTCCGAGTGTAGAAAGAAATTTTGTTGAGAATGTCAATTTTATTTATGTCAAACATCGCGTCACGCGATTTACTTTGCTAAATATATACATATTGCTTTGCATGCTAAAACAATGAATTTAATTTAATATTACGCAAGTAAGATATTAAAAAGTATTTCAATAAAGATATTAATATTAAAAAGATTTTAATAATTAAAAATAAGAATTATGCATAATATAAATTATTAAACAAACTGCGAAAACCTATATAAATATATGTTGTGCGCAATGATATATTAACGAATTAATTAAAAACTATAAAAAGTACATGTATAAATACTTTGAATACGTAATGTATACTACTTGAGAGATACAAGAGATTAATGCGATATTATAAAATTTTTGCCATTTCGTCGTGCGCGCCGATTCATAATTGATTCATAATTGAATTGCGTACAACATTTTAGCAGTTAAAGTTTTATGTTTACGCTCTAGATGGCGGCGCGATAAAAAAACTTTAGGGCCTCGTAGATTACGTCTTTCAACAATGAAGCGCTCGCAATGACGACGGGCTCCCAGCTGTTCGAACACACCCGAGCAGGAAAACGATGTGATTTCCACTTTGCTGCCTTTGGCTTCGAGCGCGCGCTCGAAAGACCGAGAAACGGCACGACGCGACGTTGAAAGAACCACCCACGGTGAACGGCGGTGGAACGGGTGAGGATTTCTCTTGATCATTTCGATCGCGCCGGCTCGCCTTTATGTGCATATTATGTATTTATTATGGCTGCCTACCAGGAATCGCGCGACAAAACCACAGGAGCCTCGAGGAGGAACTCTCCTCCTTTTGCTCCTCCGCGGGACTCTCTTTGGAGACCGTTCCGCATAACCCCGTTCAAGAATCCCGGGGTCCCGGGCAGGGGGCTCATTAATTGACACCGTGATACTTGTCCCCGCCGGTCTTGGTGGTCTCCGCTTACCTTTTAACGATACGCGCCAATCTCATCGATTCCGACCGATCGTCCGATCGATGATCGCCTTCGCTCGTCTAGCGGGAGAAAAAGAAAAGCCATCGCATCGATTTAACGAAGATGAAACGGTTAATGTAAAACGGTATAATTTCGCGGCTTGATTTTATATATATATATATATATATATATATATATATATATTGTTTATGCACGATAATTGGAGTTTATATTTCGAAGTAAACATTATTTATAATACATCATTAATAATTTTTTTTTTAAAACGCTTCATGTTTATTTAAACGATGTTATAAGACACACCGATTTTGTATATATATCGTTGCGAATATACAATTTTTATGTAAATAAGTAATCAATGTATTAAGATAAGTTTCAAATAATAGAATAGTAAGTGGCATGGCTCGAAAAATGAGAGTTTGGTATCTAATAAATCTTCTTTTTGTTGAATTTATATTTTTATAAATTCAAAACAATCTTGCTTATATCGCGAGTTATGTATACATATATATATATTATTATTAACAGATTTCCAACGCAGCAATTAATATTTATCAAAGTTATATTAATAAATCGATAATCAAATCTGAAAATCGATTGACACTCCTTTTTTTTTCCCTATACAAAATTCTTATTACGCAAAATGTCATTTCTGTCATCGAACCTGGATAAAAAAGAAATTATTAGACATCAAAATCTCTTGAGCGATATCACTTAATATTCTATTATTTCAATTTCTAATTTGGGAAATTAAAGATTACACTTTAATGATTTTAAACTTTTATTCTATCTCATATATTCCTAGCTTTTTTTCACATTGCTAACTTAATCATAAGTAAATGCTTGCTTTTTGAATTTTCACTCATCATCTTGTAAAAGTTTCGATTAAGTTTATATATTCCGTATGTTAGCATGTGGCTCACGTACTTGTTATATTTCCAATTTTGTCTGCTGGCCCAAGCAAGCAGTTGGCACATTTGGAATGTTTGAATTGATTTTTTGAATTTTTATTATCGCGTACAGAGACTTTTCTTCACAAAATTCTACTTGTCTGCGCATCACGTACGGCCTATAGTTCGTATCATGCGTTTTCTGGGCCTACCGTTCATTTATAGGGCAATCTGTAAGCCATAGACGGACACGTTGATGCTTCGTGACACCGTAGAACTGGGCCGGTGCTCATAACACATTTGCATTCTTTTCAATGTCGTGCCACGTTCAGTAGAGGCCACCTTGCGAATTGATATTCCTTACTTGAGTTCTTCGATTTATCGGCCATTCCTATAACAGCCATAAGTCTCATGTACAGAATAGTAGAGCAGATGTCGAACTTGACTAAATATCTGTCATTCTTAACGATTAGCGAAGCACTTAATGGAAAATATCGAGAAGTTTTTTAAACCTTAAATTCTCACTTAAGGTTTATAAATGGCATGACTATAAATAAGAGATAGAAATCGTTTAAATTTATAAAATCATCATTATTGCGTCTTAATTTGCATATAAACTAAAAATGTTAAAATTACAACTAGCATTTTGGAATATATATATGCGTGTTTCAAAAATTTTTATTTATATAATTGAGTAATTAATAATAAAGAGATTTTTAATTTTTATCATAAATTTTTGAATTTTTTTATATAAAATTGATGTTGTAACCAAAATTCAGATTATAAGTTGGAAAAATTACAGGTTACAGGTTACAAAGCGGAATATTCTTATACTTATTATGTAATACTTGCGTTTTGAAAGAATGTGAATACTAAAGAACAATAAATTTTCTTCCAAGATCTTGAAAAAAGGTTTTGTCAGGAAATAAAAAAGATTGACGACTGACACGCCGGATGACGAATGGTGCGCGTAAGTATTCAAAGATCGATCGGGACTCGACCTGGAAAGACTCGTGAAAGAAAAAAAAAGAAAAAAAAAAAGAACAAACAAGCGCGTGTACCAGCACGGTTACGCTTGCTATTCCGCGCGTATCCGTAGTAATAATAAATTATAATTCCCTTTTGAAATAGGCGGACGGCATATAGATATCTCACACGGCCAAGTGCGGGCCCCATTTTTTACGATTATAATGTCCGCATAGCATTATTTCAATCTGGGAAACGCGAACATGACGGAATGCCGAAGAGGCATTCTCTATCATGCCGTCGCATAATAATACTCACAGACTGCTCGTCAGTATGGTATGGATATTAAGTATATACGGCCCGATTGTGAATTGCTATTCGGATCAGATATGAATGTGATTATAGCGCGCGGCACAATGGCGGAGCGCGCGAGGAAAGATTTTCGCGGCGAGCTCGACGATGAAGATATAAAACGACATTAGACTCCGGCCATTCCGCCGGCATTCTTGCCTTTTAATGCCGAATGCCGGGAAATAAAGTCGGCTCTTTACGATTATTACGTTTCATACATTTGTGTTCATCGCATTACAATATCGTGTTCATTCACGATAGGTGTTCTCTACGTACGTAGCGAAATAGCTAAAACTTTGTAGCAGAACGTACAACAGCATAACGTTTCATAAATTTTAAATTCCATGTCGTAGGAGAAAAACTTCACTTTTATATTACACGACGGAGAATAAATACATTGACATTTGAAAAGAAACGAGTATCTTCGTAAACGAAGCGTTAGAAGGTGATGAAAGATGTAATGTAAGCTTCAAATGGCATAATTCACCGCCGCCTCGAAAAACACGCTTAAACTTCCACGACGGCCGTAAGATTGCGTTATAAAGTAGCCTTGTCTGTCGTCTAATTGTTATTTCCAAAGAAACGTACGATGCATTAGAACATGATCACGTACGTGATACGTCACTTTGGTGCGTGGTGTTCCGCATCGTGCGTGGGAACTGTCCAGGTCACGCGTCTACGCACCGCGTGCGGAATTATTAAGTGGCCTGAGGAAACATTAGTTTGCTTCGAACGATAGTACTCACGCAGAATTGCAAGGTCTATGATTTTGAGTACGAACTACCGTATGCGGTAACTTAAAGCGAAAATTACGGAAAGAGAGAATTACTCAAGCATGAAAAAAAAGACAAGCGAGTATTCGAAAAATACATTGCGAAAAACGATGTGCATGTTGCATAGTTTTCTAACAAATAGCAGCCAGGACAAAATAAAGTAAAATGTATCCATAGAAAGTTGCTACCAATGAGTTCCATCCTAGAATGAGCGCTATTGTTCTCAGATCACGTGATCTAAACTGAGAAGAATAATTATGATGGGGACATCTTTTTTTTTTACACAAACCTAACTATTTCAAGTCGTATAGATAGCAGATATTGATTACAAAAATCCCACCAATATAATTCTATTATATTTATGTGCCTTATTTAATTCTTTCAATGCAACAACGATAGAATATGAAGAAATTATTTTATATGAACGAACCGATTGCTATTATATTAAATTCACCTACGACTACTTTAATAGACATGAAGTTTTATTTGTAATTACAAATATAATTATATAAAATTATACTAATGTCATATATATCATAAATCATACTAATATATAATCCATGTATAATTAATGTCGGATAACGTTTCCGAATAATTTCGACAGTCTCGTATTAGATTATGATTGTCGTCCCGACGATCCTACAGATCTCCCAATCGTTAGGAATAAGAATTTATTCGCAAGTCCTGAGGGATCGTTTCCTGCATCACCGCGTCAACTCGGATGAAGAGGGCGATGCGCGGGAGTTTTACACATAAATCTGGTCTACGTAGACGGGAGTGACTCCTCATGGGAGTTAGACTAGGATAGGATGGGAAAGGACTAGAACTCTTCTCTTCTAAAAGACCGTCGAGAATGTGAGAAGCGACTGCCGTTCTTTTTAATTCGCAAGAGAGCCTTACCTCTCTTCCATGCGCGATTCTTTGGATTGAAATGATAATGAATGAATTATGTAAATATTACGTTACATGAGTTAATGTAAATGTGACATTATATGAGTATAATCGACGTCACACAATCGATTTCACGAAATATGCTTACATCGCTTGATTAATTATGCATTACGAATGATAAATACTTGTATTATGCGTCAGATTATATTAGACATTTCGTCGATTAATGTAGAATTTTTGTATTCAGATCAAAATGTAAAATATGAAATTTACTTGCATTTTTGTTTAATATATCCATATATCAATATACAATTATATCGTTAATAAAATAGGATATAAGTTAAATTTTTTAAATTTTAGTTTATTATATATATATATATATATATATATAAGCTATGAAGTGAAAGGATAACGATTGTAAAGGATAATCTTCCTTTTTTGATAAAGTTAAAAGTTACTTTTGTGCTAATAGATCGTTACTGTTCATTAATACATAATATAAAAAACGAGTGCGCGCTTAGGAAATCTTTAATGATTTCTTTACAAAGGAATTCGCTTCGAGTATTAAACATTAAAGAATCATTAGCTTTAAGAAATGCATGGTCCTTAAATCACGAAAATATCTCAGGTTTAACAGGCTGACTCTCTGTGAATGAATTATAAGCCGCGAGATCCGATTGACGGGGGACTACATTGAAGATTTTAAGGAAAACTTCTGCAATTCCCATGTGCCTTTTTTTTTGTGCGAAATACGTAAAATCGTCGAACAAGTCCTGAAAGTCTCCGAGAGATGGCGGAGCATAGACATTCCTCGCAGTTTCGCAAGATCCCACAGGGATGACTGATCCGCGCAGTCATTTGGAACTTAGCAAATGGACGGATTTCAAGCGCGATGCATCACAGACACTCATATACACTGTACGTGCATCTAGTATACCTGGTATAAAAATAGTACCAAGGATAAAAATAGAAACTAGAACTCGTATATTTAAAACCATGGCAAAATAATGAGAGTTGAAAATAATTTTTATTTATATCTCTTAAGTAAAAAAAAAAAAATTGATTTGGCAAAAGCTTATATATGTATCGTCCTCTATCCCAAGTGTTTTCTTTTATTTCGTTCATTTGCTCTAATAGCGCGCTTTAATTAATTAGAGCCAATTTGTGTATAAATCGTGTGTGTTATAAATCGATCGAAAATGTGTGTTCTGGTATTAAATAATTAAGAAATTTACATAGATTGAAATTGAATAAAATTTTCGGAGATTCATATATCGATCAACATGATGATTCTGATGAAAAGACATAATTTCTGAAAATTCGTATAGTTAAATTATGAACTACTACATATATCATAATATAATCGATATTTAAATCATTTTGCAATAGGAGTAAGATTGATATCTGCTAATTTTATTTATTTTTATTAATTTTACCGATGATCCTTGAATAATGATAATAACAGAAGAAAATTTATACATAAAAGATAACTATTATCTTTTTTTTTTTTAGCGACAAATATTTAATTAGCATTATCTACGTACTTGAAAGGAACCATTTATTGCACGATATAATTATCGCTCGTGTATATTTATATATTTCCTTGATATTATCCGCCGGAAGATAGGTCACCTTTTGCGATTACATGGGAGTAAGGCAGCGAACAAGAGGCCGGTGCTGATTTATGCATGCACGATAAATGACAGCGACGTAGTCAACATAGCGAACGACTTAAAATACGTGCTTTACTTGCTTATCTATGTAAGAAGTTAGTTGTATCTTTATCCCTCTTTCTCCCTTGCTTCACGTACGTGCATCGACTCACATCGTTCGTTTCTCGCATCTTCCTATTCTGTTCGCGCACTCGTGCGCCGGACGAATTAGCCGGATTAATTGCAGCACTGAGAACGATACTAGCCTGAAGAAAATAGAAGAAAATAAATTTTCGAACGTAGTAAGGAATAATTCTCAAGCGCATTTACTGACGTTGTTACTGACGTTGTACGAGAGATTTTCGGTCATCAAGCTCGATTGATAGATGCCTGAAACATTTGCGTAGGCACTTTAGTAGGCAGATCGAGAAAAACATATTAAAGCAAAATTATTATTTTATCTTCAACTCTGCAACTGTAAATCTACATGATCGTCGGGACAACAATCATAATTTAATACGGCGCTATCAAAATTATTTAGAACGTTCATTGACGTATTGCCTAATGTTAATTGACATGGATATTATATATATATATATATATATATATATATATATATATACAATATATTATATATATAC